TTTTTTTTTTTTTTTTTTCAAAAATTTTATTCATATTCATATTTTGCATATATAAAAAGTTTAAAAATTGCATATATTTTTTTTTTTTTTTGTATTCTATATATATATCGGAACATTAGTAGAATATAATTATTGATATAATTATTATTATTATTATTATAATTTTTTTTCTTCACAGAATAGTTTAAGGATTTGGCAATCATTGTTCTTTCCAAATCAAACCGATGACAGACTGTTGGGAAAAAAAGCTGCGGAATATGTCGGTGGTTATTTTTATACATTGTCGTCGTTTTGTCGTTTGTTGCATTGTCATTGTAAATTGTCCGTTTTTTTTTTTTGTTTCCATATATTCCCTTTCATTTTTTGCTTCTCAAAATAAAAGAAATTTTATTTTAATGCCTCTATTTATTTATATATTAAGTTATTTTTTTTTTTTTTTGTCAATGCTGTTGTTGTATTATTATACGTTGTCAAAAATTATTTGTTCATAGTGTCCATACAGAGTTGTTTGTGAAATATAAGACTGAAACAGGATAAGCATTTTTTTTTTTTCTTCGGTTTAGAGTATAAGAAAAAAAAAACTGGTTTTTGTTGTTGTTGTTGTTGTTGTTGTTGTTGTTGCTGATGCTGTTTATACGGATTGAGGGAGATCAAAATAATTGAGGAAAATACGGCAATAATATTGCTTTTGTTTGTTGTTGTTTTGTCGTATCGCATGCTGGACTAAACTTAGTACAGAAAAAAAAAAAAAAGCAAAAAAAAAAACAAGATAAGGTAAGATAAAGGAAAAAAAGAAAAGAAGAAGATTATTTTTTTTTGGTTGAAAAAAAAAAAAGGTTTAGTTTTGGCTAAATTTACTGATTTTATTGTTGATCATCAACATTGCATTCAAAACTCCAACCACAACGGATACTGAATATCGTTTTAACAGACCAAAATGTACCACATCATTCAACAGTTCTAAATTTTGAAACAATAAATTACTGCTTCTTCAAAACAAAATTATTTCT